TTGCTTAAATTGGAAAATTAACTGCGATGATCATTCTTCACTTTCATCTACAACCGCAGTTCATATATGAATTATTTCATATAAACTTCACATCATAGAAAAAGGGTATTTTATTGTATTTCGCCACATTACCTCTATATCATAAAGCAAATGAAAAAGCCTAAGCCGTGTATTACATTGTGATAAAACACTCCGGACATTTGAGAACTCTCGAGAAATGTGGAAAACACTCGCCTGCGGCTGCGGCTGCGGCTTCTTTATTTGTTAAATATATACTTAAGTTTCCCGGGGAATTTGGGCTTGGGGTTCGAAATGTTCGTCAGTCGAAGAAAGGCTCGCGGTCATAGTGGGTGGATCGATTCTCAGTGACACACTTACGTGCAATGATACTGGCTCAGAGCGAAATATTTTCCCTAATAGCCCGACCCAACCCATCGAAAAACTTGAACATTTGTTACACCACTTTTATTGAACTTGATCGTCTTGCAAATGGTAAAAGTGTGTCTTGCTTTATAGTTTTGGAGAATTGCTGACGAGTGAGGAGCCAGGAAGCTTTTTCTCCCCCGGAATTAACAGCAACAATTTCGCACTTTAGAGAAAAACGAAGCATCTGAACCACGCTTATAATTTTTTGGTATGGGCGCAACCGCGCAAATTAAATGGCTCTTGAAGTATGTAGGAGGTTAACACGTTGTGATGGAGGTGTTTATGTTAAAGACGTTATACGTAAATACCCTCTCAACTTACCATGGACATCTCCTTAGCAAACAAATTGAAAAGAAACTCCATGTTACTTTCGCACACTAATCCCACAAGGTCGGCGCTGAAAGTGTCTCTATTCTTGTCGAGTATTCCTTAATGCAGACAGTGAGTACAAAGAAAATCGTAGATTGGCATCAGAGAAAAGAAAAAAGCGTTTTCCCAAAACATTCTATGCTAGGGTACTTGAACGTTTCCAGTTTTCAGTCTTCTTCCTTTTATTCCTCGTCATTCCCTCTGGAACATAAGGCCCTGACTACTAGCTTCCATCTTTCTATTTCAGTAAGTACTGAAAACTTTGAAAGTCGAGTATAAATAAGAAAAACAGTCTGTTTCAGCCCTTTGATAAGTTCAAGAGTGCCGGAAAAAGGGGCGAGTGAAAATAAGTCAAAGGTTAATAGCTGAGGTGACAATTTAGGGCACTCCTCGAACTCCTCGAACTCCTCTTCCCACTGCTACTCCCAAACCGGTCTCCTGGAACAGGAAAACTGGCAGCTTGAGAATAATGGAAGACTCACATGACTGATTCCATGATATAAGTCATAAAAATACCATACAACTATCGTAGGAATATTTTAATGGTGTTCAAAAACTATCTGTACTGTGTTCAGTCATTTGTATTTCTTTCAAATTATGGAATTGAGTTTCAAACACGTTCCCAGGGTCTCTTTTACCCGCTCCTCTCACCCGCCTCCTTGAGCAGGAAGACGAGAGACCCTGGGTACGTGCTTGGTTGAGGTTTTGCCACATTAAAAACTCTTTTCTCGACCGAAAGGTCAAGGGAACACGGGTTCTGAGTGCAAGAAACTAACACGCTACTGAACCTGCGCAAACCCGGAGCTTCAACCAACGGGAATTTTGTCACAATTTACCTCTGACATCGTACTCAATTGTTCCTGCAAAGTGCACCACTCCAAACGATGCCCTGGAAAGTGATTTGGACTTCACAAAACAACTGCTGCTACCGTGCTGGGAGTTAATTTTCTGCAAAAACGATTCGTCGCTTCCCTGAAGTTAAAAACCGTGGAAAATAATTAATTGCTGTTGAAAGACGAAAGTATGAAAGAAGCATGTTACAAGGAAGGAAGGGGAGGGGCGGAAGGGGACAGGAACGGGAGAAGATTTAAGGATTTTCATGCATTTCAACTTTCAGAAAAAAATTAATCTTTTCTTTAAGTCACTGACTACTTTAATTTTCTTTACTGTTTACCTGAGGAAATCTGCTCTCCTCGTCCATCAGGGCGAAGCAGTTCATTGGTTTTTTTGCCAAAGTGTCTACAACTTCTTGGTTGTCAATAAAAGCGACCGGGCTCCAATCCAGGCCCTCGCGACTATATTCAGCCTAGACCACAATGAAAAGAACTGGTAAAACAACCCTGCAATGTTTGTTGATTTACAGTTTGCTGATTCTAAATTGTAGAATAATTTGAAACATTAAATAGTCCATGACTGAAGTTGAGATTGCTTAGCCTAAGATATTTTATTCTGTGATCAGCCTTTCTCCAGCTGCCAAAAGGTTCTTACCAATCGGTTGGTGGACACATTACGTTTTTTTTGTTAAATAGTATTTAATTTTAAGTTTTTTTCAATAGATTTTGTATATAGTTCAGTTAATTATTTTTTCCACCTTTCTTTTAATTTTGTATTTTGCAAAGTCACTTTTAAATGAGTTTCGAACTCATCTGTGTTACGTGGGCAAAAAAAACTTATTCATTCCACTATCACCACATAGTTATCGTGGATGAAAGAAAACATTGGGATTTATGTAGACCGAGGGTTTCTCATGCTCTCAAATTTTGTGTTTGCTAATCGGTTCCAGTCTTTCTCACTAACCTGTTCCATCTTAAACACGTGATCAACAAAGAAACTGTGGAGTTTCTCGTTTGCATAGTTGATGCACAGCTGTTCAAAACTAAGAAGAAAAAACAAGGGAGAGAAGTTAGTACTTGCTTGAGATCGAACTAAAAAGATAATTCAAATATTAACACGCTGCTTACAGAAAGTGGGCTAGAAATGTTATGTTTAGAGAAATGCTTAAGTGCATTTTCCTTCAAGTAAGTCATCAAATTGAAGTTCATTCATGCGTGCACTTGATGGGTTTACGCCCAGCTGGGGCTTTATCGCTGCAATTATGATAGCAAGTCTTTGCATTTCACTTAATTTCTTACCTATTAATGTCAAAGTTTTCAAAGCCAAAAATATCCAGAACACCAAGGGAAACGCAACCCTCTGAGTCAACCTTTGATGAAGAAATGCTGTATTACATTACAAGCTAATTAGAGACCTGATACTCTCGACGTACCCAGGCTATCACCCATCATGTTCAAAGTCAGACCACGCTAAACCACATTCGATTTGTTAACTTGACTAAATGGAATGTAATGGAGAGGAATGGTGACTTAATAATTATGTGCACTTTAATTGGATTTGTACTGAATCAAGCTACGGAAAGTACTGAGATAAAAATCTCATCATGGTAAACTGGAAATGTTCATGTTTATACATGTAATCATCTTCGTTGATTTGTATAAATCAACTTATAACGGGACATTCTGTTCAAATAACTAGGCTTTCTTTATAGTACCAGAAAAGAGGGTTGCTCCATAAGGTCGTTGAAATCAGGTGAGCCTTACTTCCTTGTTTCCATGCTTTTTCTTTCTTTGAGGGGAGGGGGCGGATGTACACAGGCAACTATAACTACGCACTCACCGCAGGTTTACTTATAGACAAGTTAATTTTGCTGACAATCCAGATGAATAGTCTTCCATAAATTCCTTTAACAAATGCATCCCTGATGTGTCTTGCGCTTTCCTCTGCGATAGGAGAGTAGATCAACTCGCCAGAGGCATAAGTCGACTTGCTTGTGAACGCTTCGTGAATCCTTTCAGAAGGAATCTGTGGCGGTTATGAAATAAATGAAATGTTTTGTTTAGTATTTCATACAGAAAAGACGTCTCTTTAAAGTTCCATGACCGCATCACTTATTAAAGTATTTTGCAATTACGAGTAGTCCATCTTTCACTTTGTCTGTTGTGCGTGGCGAGATGGAGAACCGCGAGAAATCCTGGAGCGCTTCTCGCCCCCAGGATTTCGCGCGGCCATTTTTCTCACGCGGTTTTCTTTCACGTCACGCACGACGGACTAAGTGAAAGAAGGACTACTCGAAGTTTTATAATTGATTTGGTAATCTTGCATTTTCATACAACTTATATGTCCACCCTTTATGATGGGCTATAGAAGCTATCGCCCAGCGTTAATAACGTAGCGCACGTGAAATGCTTGGGAAGGCGTGCTGTTCTTTCGATAGTTGCTAGATTGCTAGCATACGTGCGTGCGTGCGTGCATGTGTGCGTGCATGCGTGGTGTTTACGGAAGTGTCGAGTTGACTTGAGGCCTGGGATCAGAAGGCCAATGAAATCCAGCGGCCCTCCGCACCGTATATTTCGTTTCTTTATCTTCACAATCTATATGCTCCATTTCGTATTAAAACTCTAATATGAATTACATGCAGCCATTTTTGTACGAGATTGGCAAGAGTTAAATTAAAACCAACCTGTAATAAATGCGCTATTGAGTCAACTGTGTCATTATTTAAAATCGCACAGGCCTCCATGTTGTCCTGAATCAAAGCTGTAGGTTGAATGACAATTCAGGCAAACAACAAACGAATTAAAATTTTCAGAAGATGTTATTTACAACCGGTAATCTCGCATCACCTGGGATGCATCTTATTACTCTACCTTCGTGGGACTCGCTTACAAACGATCAGAAGAGGTGTTTACAAGAACTATACGGATAATAAGTTCGAATGTGTATCAATGTTATTCGGTAGCAGTCCGATCTTACCTTGAAAGCGCAAATTGCCGAGGTGAAGGATGGCTGCCAAGAGAGTAAAAATAATCCAGCAATCCTCTTCAGAAAACATCAACACCTGAACAAAAACCGATATAAACAAATTTACTTTTCAAAAGCCTCGGGAAAACCCCCCAAAGCGTGGGGGAAGCATTTTACAGAACTGCGTCGATTGTTAATTTTGCCGGGAAGATTCTCCACCGATGGTCAAGACAAGACAAGAATATTATGTCTCAAGTACACCTAACCAAAATAACATGAAAAAGCTCTAGTCTTTTTAGAGTACTTGTTCACTTTTGTCCAAACCGATCAGGCACGATGTATACACATAAGCTACTTTCAGCCAATTTTATTAAAGAACTGATTTCACGACGACTTAAAATTTTTATGGTCATTAAAAAAGGCTAATCATTTCACCTTCATTGCTCTTAGAATGTTAGCGAACGCTTCTTTATCGTCCATTCCCTCGCAAACATAACAGTTCCCTTGGGAGAGGTAGTGATAATCTTTTGCCTCCGTGAGATGGAGGCTACTCTTGTCCTTGTCTGTCAGCCCGGCGAGCAAACGATAAAATATGTGATAGTTACGTTCTTCAGGCATCTAAATAGAAGGAAAAAAGCAAATCAAATGATATCACAAGTAAAATCTGTCATTTTTTTTACACGTAAGACGTTTTCTAAACAGTTAGATCTTTCTTAACGCACTTTTAAACCTGTAATCGCGTCTGTCTTAGTTCATCGACATAGATTACACACCCATCTTCTTATGCCGTTTGTGTCAGCGCTACTGCAAAGGTATAAATTTTAACATCAACCGAGTTTGTATTGCGTAGCAGTTCAGTGTTCAATGTACCTGGTACACAATTCTTGACTTCTCCAAGAGGTACTGCTCAATTCTAGCTCCTTCAATAATGGCATGTCTGTTAAAGTAGATGTTGATGTATTTCCCAAATCGACTGGAGTTGTCATTTCTTACGGTCTTTGCATTGCCAAAGGCTGCAAAACAACAACAATAAACCATGAAGTGAGTGTCTTAAAACTATACCCAAAGTTGTCACTGACGTGCTAATCATCTTACCTAAAAGTGTTTGTTAGCCAATCAAAACACAAGGGGCCCAAAAAACCCAATATCAAGCGCAATAGCAGTCACGTGATCTAGTGACGATTAATTTTTCAACGTGAGCTATACATGATCACGAGGGGCCGAAAGAGTAACATGTTTGCTCTTTTTAGCCGAAGCATGTTTTACGTCGTCCGATCCCAAACTAAACTATATCGACCCCAGGGGCGAAAAAGAAAAGAAAAAGAAACAGGTAAAACCATTTTACTGAAGCTTATACGCTAAAGTAACGACACAAATATTCAGCTAAAGAGTTTAATTTGTGTTGAAGACCAACGAGTCGAAAAAGGTTCTTCAGTGGTCTTTAAATCTATGGGGTATTTTCCGTAAACTACGTTTTATGAGGTATTTCAATACCTTCTAAAATTGGATTTGCGTCCAGAATCCGTTGATCCAGTGTGGTGTGCTGCCCGCCTACTGCTGTCAGATATCGCAAAATCAGCTTGGTAGATTCTGTTTTTCCTGCGCCACTTTCACCACTTAAAGAAACCATACACGAAAATAACTAAACTTGACAGTAATGAAATTGCGTAAAAGGTTAGATCTGCGTTCGAGCCTGGTAGCCCGTTGGGCAGACGCTTATTTCTGCAAGTTTTCGTGGCATGAGGCATTTAGGAGTACTTCAACTCCCCTCTGGATGGAATGACTAGTCTATCGCAGGATTACTCTCAACATTTAACTCGCTGATACCCGATTATACACCTGGGAATAGAAAGGCACTGGGGGAGTTAAGTACCTTCCCAAGATGGAGCCAGCTTTTAAGCCGATAGCGCGGGGTACTAATGCACAACCAAAGCAAAAGCGGATTACTTTCAACAGTCTAATGAAAACTGCTCTGTGTAAATCAGAGAGGATCATTACTTGTTTTCAGAAGCTCTTGACATTGTACCTGATTATAATACTCTGGTTTTGGAGTCGTCTTTTCATAGAAGTGAACGCATACTGTGCTGTCGAGAATATATGTGGAGGTAGCAGGGTCATATCTGTTTGTTGACTGTACTTGTCTATGTGCTCTGTACCGTAGATTGGATACAACTCATAAGGGTTTACTGCTACCAGCACCATACCTATATGTGTCTGTAAATGTAGACAGAAAAACGAAAAATATCATCAACGTCATAGGAAGTGTAAAAGTAGTGCAGAAATTGAAGTAAAAGTAAAAGTAGTACACTAAGCGAATCATTGGAAAGATAATGTAAACAAACTGTGCAAAAACGTAGTGTGACCTATATTATCTGTTTTAGATTTAACAAATTGACGTCAGTTTTTTCTGCGTCTGTCCTCTTATTGATGATAAATTGCGTCCCACCCCCGATAAATTGATCCCATCCCCGGATGCACCACTGGACCTCTCCTATCATTTCTTACAATCTCTTGGTCGCTTCAGAACTACAAAAAGAACCTACTATTAGGTAGTCTAGTATCTTTCTTTTCATTCAGACTTACGTAGATTTTGTGGCTGTAATATCTGATTAGCAGATTTCTCAATATTCCAGCTTCACTGAGCTCCCCAAGTTGAATCATGTCATCAACTCCAGAAATACAGCTGGGATGCATCGACTGAACATCGCCAAGAGAAGATCCACCCAGAAAACGTTCCTGGAGAGGTTTAAGGAAGAGAGAGGTTCGTTCAGTTTTCATTACCTGCTATTTAATGACATTGGGACTAAGTGCGTGAGATCAAATTCAGACTGTAATCATATGACCGCCAGATTTACGAAATTGGCCAACGGTGAGGTGGGAGTGTGATATATTTGTTTAATCACAGAGGTACTGGATCTCAGGGTACGACTACCGACGGTTTATAATCGTAGAGTGTAATTACAGACCCAAATAAACGGCACGAAGTCATTTTACCAATTAATAACCACAGCCATGAAATAATAGACCATATTCGTATTCTCGGTATTGGACTGGGACTAGCTTGTACTGGACGCTAATGCGAGGAATATCATTACAAAGAGATTAATGTCATTTNGCACTGAAGAGCCGGCACTGCAGAAAGTTATGTTCAAATTTATGCGACAAAAAGCAACCAAAAACGCTTGCTTCTAAATTTTCGGCCCTTCGAGTTATGTCGTCGAAGAAATTATTTGCCGCTCGGTCTCGACGATTCTGGAAACCGGTTACCAACACCTAAAATCATAATTATTGTTGTCTCGTGCAAAAGAATGGTAATTTATAATGATTGGCAAAATAATATTCCGCCGAATGCAAGAAAATATGAATCTCGTTTATCGCTTGGCTTATAAAACTTAAAAACCATCTGAGAGATTACCCTTGCAGGGTTGAATTTGTACAGTGTATCAGCTGAACATAAATACATAAGTGGCTCACCCTACCTGTAATTTTCTCTGGTTACCGTCTCAGCTTTTGTGCTCAAAATGCATTGCAGCTATCGCCTAAGACCACAGGAATACACTTTGAGTCAACCTTTTCGACTGCCATTTCAGTGCTGTGAGGTTATGTAAAGTTGACTTTGTGAACAATACTACCCGACGTTGCTTCGTCGCTCGTGTTGTCATTATTTGTCAGTTTTTCTCATTTGCATTTCAGTGAGAAGATTGAACAGGAATAAACAATGTGTGAATGACAAAAGCGACCAAAAGATGACAGAAAAACACTGGACGTCAACCTTGAATAAATTACTCGCTTTTGAACTTCCATACATATTTTGTATGGCTCATTACCTCCCAGTGGAAAAGTACTTTATTTTGCCTTAATTTTTTTATTCTGGAAAAAGATTCATTTTATTTCTTTCTTATAACCGAATGTCGACTGAGTATTTAGCTCTCTTTTCACGTAAAAAACTGATTGGTGATATTAGTTTCGATAAGTTGTTTTGACTAACATAAAGCACTTAACTTATCATTCACCTAAACGTCAATATACTGTAAGAGACTATTTTTTTATGAGCACTTCACAGAAATATTCCATATTAAAACACTGCAGCTACTCAGTGTATACCAAAATACCGAAATGTCATCACGTTTTAAAAGGACCATTCTAATAATAGCCTGTCTCAAATAGTTCACAAAACTGACTGACGTGGATCAAAAACTGACATTGACCCTGTATGAATTTTCAAATATAACAACATACTTGGCTAAGTAAAAACATTTTAGTTATGACCATTGTTAAAAACAGGCAAAGCAAATCTCTTTCAGAGCAAATACCTGTTCCTTTTGAATCAGTGTGATTAAAACACAACAGTTCATTTTTTGTTTTGTTTTGTTTTGTTTTGTTTTGAGAACGAGCTAGGCACTACCTGATAAATTTAAAAGCACTTTTGAGTACACTGTCTTGATGATTCTTCCCAGAGCCTCCGATTCTTCGGGTTGACATTTTATAATGAGTAAACCTGGGGACTAGAATGGCTTCGTTTAACAGTTCCACTCGAGAGTTGAAAACCAATCGTGACTCACTCGCCTTCATATTTCTCGAGCCCTCTGAATGTATTTACTTCGAGATTTGATCACTTCTTCTATCAGTGTTCTTTGTAATTGGCTAGATGAACCGGTTAAGATATTTTGCAGATATTGTCAATCTCGCACCCGGAGCCTGCGTCCCCCTAGACCAGCGGTCGGGAACGAGATTGCGATATTTTCTGCTACAGGAGGAGACCAGGAAGAACTCGCACTGGTATGAAAGTCATTCCGGTATCATGAATGTAAACACACCCCGGCCCAGGCGATCACTTAACTGAACACCTGGAAGAGGCTACCCGCTTTTGACCTTCAATAGTGCTCAGTCGATAAATATGGGAGTAGACCAAGTGTTTTCGGTCAAGATGGCTGGATATTGGCCATGTTCTTTTTTT